CTCTTTTCCAATTTCACAGAAAGCTCTGTCTCCATTTAGCAGAAAGCTCTCCTAGTGTTCTCTCCCACTCGTGTTCCATTCTTTGGCATTGCTCTTTCATCCATTCTTCCTTACCAGAACCATTCTCCTCTGATCCCTGGGGTCTTCCAGTCCCCCTCTGAGCTATTAATTTTTTTTCTAGAGAGAAAAGGGGTGGAAGGGAGGAAGGAAAAGAGGAGGGGATGTGGGGAGGTTGGAGAGAAAAGGGAGAGGGGAAAGAGTGAGAGAGAAGGGGAGAAGTATAGGGGAGAGAGAGAGAGAGATGGAGAAGAGAGAGAGAGAGAGAGAGAGAGAAGAGAGAGAGAGAGAGAGAGAGAGAGAGAGAGAGAGAGAGAGAGAGAGAGAGAGAGAGAGAGAGAGACAGACAGACAGACAGACAGACAGACAGACAGAGAGAGAGAGAGAGTGAGTGTGTGTGTGTGTGTGTGTGTGTGTGTGTGTTTAGTACTCACCTACTTTTAGTGGCAGAAGGTCGAGAGGGGTAGAGTGGTCCGTCGGTGGGTGGGATTCGGGGGTGTGGGGGAATGCCTGAGTGGTTGGAGTGGGGGTCTCTTGTGGGCCAGAGTAGTGGTTAGTGGGGGGAGACTGTGAGGATGGGAAACCTTGAGAAGGGTGGGGGGCGGGGTGTTACTGAGACAGCGTTTTATGCTTGTGTGTCCAGAAATAATCTGTGCCTCACCCTTCTATGTATTAATATACTAACATTGTATTAATAGTAATACTAATAATACTAACAATAACAATAATATACTAATAATTCCAATACTCAGCTTCTACAAGTCTGAACACTATACTGTGTGTGTATGTTTATAGTCCTTCATATACCCACGTATAGCAATATACTATAACATACTAATAGTAATACTAATAGTAGTAACCCTAACAATAGTAATACCAATAATACTAATATCACTATACTAATAGTACTACCAGTCAGTTTCTACATGCCTGAACACGTATACGTGTGTGTGTTCACGAGTCCTTTGCATGCCCACGAATGTACTACATTTGTACTACCTGTGTACCCAATAACTTGGTTCGCCGATTGCACTATTTTTGTGTGCTTAAATCTTATCTCTTAAAATTGGTGTCAGTCTGTAGTCCTTTTGGCCTACACTTACTCCTGCACAAGCATGCCCCTTACCAAGGTCATCTGTTCCTTGCTCCAGCCAATTTTATCTTCCTACTAAATGCTAGGTGCTGTATGTATGATAATCACACCAGAGCAGGGTTTGTGACAGCCAGCTACCAACTATTGTAGTGCCGCCTCTACCACTCAACTTCCCTCCCTTTTTACCACAAACACAGGTGATTTGTACATTACGCATCAGGTGTCATCCATCCCGATGCTGACTGTACAATGACTCTCCTGCTGTGATGAATGGTTTTGAAAACCGACAAGTTGAAGAATTGAGACACATATGCAACACATGGGAATCTTTAATAAAGATTTCCATGTGTTGCATATGTGTCTCAAAACTCTCCTGCTTCTTGCTCTTCCACCTTTGTCCATCTCTTCAATTATTCTATTATCATTACCCATTTGAGTCCTTATTTACCACACTTATCACTTGTATATTGCTACTTTTCGTAAATTACACTTCACTTTTGGTAAGGTTACACTTCTTATTTGTAATGGCACACAACCTGCTATGGTGGCTCCACTTCCTGGAGGCCTACTGCCTGCCACTTTCTCTGGTTATATATTTCGTTATCTTCCTTTTCTCGTTAACTTTCTCACACTTGTTGTATGCTACCTCACAGTTTGCTCGTTAACCAACCTCTCTTAATTTTTGACCTTTTGTCTTTTGTCACTCACTTTGTATATTTGTAACTGTGTGGCAACAGGTGCCTACTAGGCCTCTAATGATGTGGCAATTTCAAATTTTGGTGTATAATTTCAGGCTTCATCTAGGCTTTTTTTAACTAATAACTTTGGTTATCATTTGTAGGGTTGTTCACTAACGTCGTCACTACCACTGGTTGCTGCTAGCAGCTAATGCATGTCCTGAAAACACTAAGATTGTCGGAGCCTTGTGACCCACAACACTCTACCACCATGTGGGTGGGTGTGTATGTACTCAGATATTTGTACTCATCTAATTGTGGTTTCAGGGGCCGAGACTCAGTTCCTGGCCCCGCCTCTTCACTGGTCGCTACTAGGCCCTCTCTCTACCTGCTCCACGAACTTTACAATACCTTGTCTTAAAACTATATATGGTTCCTGCCTCCACTCCCTCACTTGCCAGACTATTCCACTTCCTGACAACTCTACTACTGAAGAAATACTTCCTAACATTCCTTTGACTCATCTGAGTCTTCAACTTCCAATTGTGACCCTTTGTGTCTATGCCCCCTCTCTGGAACATCCTGACTCTGTCCACCTTATCTATTTCTCGCAGAATGTTGTATGTCGTTATCATGTCTTCCCTAACCCTCCTGTCCTCCAGTGTTATCAGACCGACTTCCCTTAACCTTTCTTTATAGGTTAATCCCCTTAGCTCTGGGACTAATCTTCTTGCAAACCTTGCACTTTCTCTAATTTCTTGACGTGCTTGAACAGGTGTAGGTTCCAAACTGGTGCTGCATAATTCCAGTATATAGACCTGACGTACACGGTGCAAAGAGTCTTGCAGCCTATATGCTGCAGCAGTTATCTGGTTGATGTGTGCTTCTGGAGACGTGCTCGGTATTATACTCACCCTAAAATCTTTCTCCTTGAGTGAGGTTTGCAGTCTTCGGCTGCCTAGCCTGTACTCTGTCTGCAGTCATCTTTGCCCTTCCCCGATCTTCATCATTTTGCATTTGGCCGGAATAAATTCGAGGAGCCAATTGTTCCTTCCATCATGTCATTCCCATATACCATATATAGCACTGGTCCTGGGACTGACCCCCTGTGGGGCCCCGCCCGTCATAGGCGCCCACTGTGTGTGTTTTGTGTGTACTCACCTAGTTGTGGTTGCAGGGGTCGAGTCTCAGCTCCTGGGCCCGCCTTTTCATGGCCGCTACTCAGTCACTATACCCACTCCATGAGCTTTATCATATCTCTTCTTAAAGCTATGCATGGATCCTGCCTCAACTGCATCACTTCCCCAGACTGTTCCACTTCCTGACAACTCTGTGAATGAAAGAAACGCTTCCTGACATCCCTGTGGTTTATTCTGGGGTCTTCAACTTCCCCTTGTTGCTGAGTCCCATCTCCAGAATATTGTGTCTATCCACCTTGTCTATGCCTCTCAATATTTTATATGTCGTTATCATATCCCCCCTATTTCCCCTGTCTTCCAGTGTCGTCAGGTTAATTTCCCTTACCCTCTCCTTGTAGGACATACCCTATAACTCCGGGACTAGTCTTGTTGCAAGCCTTTGCAACAAGACTAGTCCCCGGACCTGGCTAGAAACAAGAATTTGAACCAGCCTCATGGTTTGACTACTTCCCAGGGTCCCCACCGATGTTGGCCTGGGAGAAAGACAACTCTCTTAAGGACGACCTCATGAGGGCAGAGTTCCCAAAACCTGTGAAACAAAGGAACTTAGAAAACCAACAATAACCTTTGACAAAAATACTGGTGCTGCATATTCCAGTATGGACCTGACGTACACGGTGCAAAGAGTCTTGCAACCTATATGCTGCAGCAGTTATCTGCAGCAGTTGTGTCCTTGTAGGACATACCCTATAGCTCCGGGACTAGTCTTGTTTCAAACCTTTGCATATTCTCTAGTTTCCTTACATGCTTGGCTAGGTGAGGGTTCCAAACTGGCACTGCATACTTCAGTATAAGCCTAATGTACACAGTGTACAGGATCCTGAATGACTCCTTATTAAGATGTCGGAATGTTGTTTAAAGGTTTGCCAATCGTCCGTATGCTGCCGCAGTTATTTAGTTGATGTGCACCTCAGGAGATGTGCAAGGTATTTACTCACCCCAAGATCTTTTTCCTTGAGTGAGGCTTGTAGTCTCTGGCCCCCTAAACTGTTCTCTGTCAGTGGTCGTCTTCATGGCTTTGCACTTGGTGGGGTTGAACTCCAGAAGCCAATTGCTGGACCAGTCCTGCAGCCTATCTAGAACCCTCTGTATTTCTGCCTGGTTCTCGTTCAACTGAATTCTTCTCATCAACTTCACATCATTTGCAGACAGGGACACTTCAGAGTTTATTCCTTCCGTCGTGTCATTCACAAATAAAAGAAACAGTACCTGTCATAGGATTGATCCTTGTGGCACCCCGTTCGCTACAGGCACCCACCCTGACACCTCACCACGTACCTTAACTTGCTGTTGTCTTCCTGACAGGCATTCCCTGATCTATTGTAGTGCCTTCCCTGTTATCCCTGCCAGGTCCTCCACCTTTTGCACTAATCTCTTGTGTGGAACTTTGTCAAACGCCTTCTTACAGTCCATGAAAACGCAATCTACCCACCCATCTCTCTCTTGTCTTACTGCCATTACACTGTCATAGAACTCTAGTAGGTTTGTGATGCAGGATTTCCCATACCTGAAACAGTGCTGACTGTCTTTGATAAGCTCATTCCTTTCTAGGTGCTCCACCACTCTTCTCCTGATAATCTTCTCCATATCGTGCATACTATACATGTCAGTGACACTGGTCTGTAATATAATGCTTGGTGTCTGTCTCAGGTTTTAAAAATAGGTACTACATTTGCTGTCTTCCATACATCAGGAAATCGCCCTCTTTCGATAGATTTTGTTGAAGATTGTTGTTTTGTGGTACATATAGCGCCTCTGCTCCTTCTCTCAGGAGGTGTGTGGGGTGTGTGTGTGTGTGTGTGTGTGTGTGTGTGTGTGGGGTGTGTGTGTGTGTGTGTGAGTGTGTGTGTGTGTGTTTTGTGTGTGTGTGTGTGTGTGTGTGTGTGTGTGTGTGTGTTGTGTGGTGTGTGTGGTGTGTGTGTGGTGTGTGTATCTGACAATGTCTAATATTTCTCTGTATTTCCCTGTACCCAGGCTGTGCGTCGCCTTTGGTGTGGGAGTGAGCTGTTTCTTTCTGCTCTTTTACTATGCTGGTTTAGTAGCATATGCCACCTACATGGAGTGTGACCCGCTTACCTCTGGAAGAATCACCATACCAGACCAGATCCTGCCGTTGTTAGTGATGGACAAGATGAATCACCTCACTGGGCTGTGTGGACTCTTCGTGGCTGCTGTCTATGGTGGTGTACTTAGGTATGCTCTCTTTATGCAATGTGTGTGTGTGTGTGTGTGTGTGTGTGTGTGTGTGTGTGTGTGTGTGTGTGTGTGTGTGTGTGTGTGTGTGTGTGTGTGTGTGTGTGTGTGTGTGTGTGTGTGTGTCTGTGTGTCCTGTGTGTATGGGGTGTGTGTGTATACTACTCAGCTTTTTTGTGATTTCAGGGCGATCATAGCTCCTGGCCCTGCCTCGTCACTGGTAGCTGCGGTGTTCTCTCTCCCGCCCTGCTTATTGAGCATTAAACAAACATCAAAAATCTTGAAACTATGTATGGTTCCTGCCTTCACTACATCACATTACCAACTAATCCACTTCCTGACAACTCTAGGACTTGGTGTTGTATCCACTTGAACCCATCTTGTCGCTGTCAACCCTTTCAATTTCTTCTCGCAGCATTTTGTATGTCCTCGCCTTACAAAGTTATAACTTTTTTCATTAAGGTATTTATCAGGGAGGTAGATCCTGGTATAGTAAAATAATATGTTTATGATGCGGACTTCGGTAAGGGGCTTTTGATAGAGTTCGCATCGGTGGCTATTGAGGAAAATTAAGCACACGGACAAGAGGAGGAATTTTTCTTCTGGGGATGGAGGGCGTAGTTGACAGATACGCAAACCAAGTTTGTACATAAATTGGGAGAAAACAGAGTGAGGGCGCATTACACGTGTGTTCCACAGGATCAGTTAGGCCCATGTTTGTTTCCTAATTTACATCTATGACATAGATAGGAAATAATAACAGACATACGCAAGTTTGCCGAATACACCGAAAAAGGCCGTGAATCATTCGGAAGAGGCACTAGAATGCTTCATGTAGATACAGTTTAATACAGGCAAAGTTTCTAAGTGTTTGGAAAGGAAAATAGCTGTGCCACATATAATCAAATTTAATGTAGATCTTAATATTACTGATTACAATAAAGATTTTGGAGTTTAGATAGCAGTAATCTAAAACCAAGTCATATGAGTAAGTGTTTGAGCAATAAAGCGAATAGAATTTCTTTGGCTTACAATCAGAAGTATAAATAACAGCAAGGTCCTCAGTTTATAACAACAACTGGGTATATGTCTTTGATTAGGCCTCAAATAGATTGTGGGCCTGCACAGTCTGGTCCAGCCACCATATTACAGAATGTATAAAGGCACGGAAAAACAAACAATAGGACGAAGACAAAGTGATCAATGTACAGAAATCTTCCCCCTATTAGACAGAATGTGAGCCCTGAATCTGGCACTCTCTATAAAGGCGTAGAATTAGAGGATATGATTGAGGTAGTAGGCTGGTAGACAGCAACCACCCAGGGAGGTACTACCGTCCTGTGGTAGTGGACTGGTAGACAGCAACCAACCAGGGAGGTACTACCGCCCTGTGGTAGTGGACTGGTAGACAGCAACCACCCAGGGAGGTACTACCGTCCTGTGGTAGTGGACTGGTAGACAGCTACCACCAGGGAGGTAACTACCGCCCTGTGTAGTGGGGACTGGTAGCCAGCAACCACCCAGGGAGGTACTACCGTCCTGTGGTAGTGGACGGTAAGACAGCAACCACCCAGGGAGTACTAACCGTCCCAGTGGTAGTGAAACGGGTAGACAGCATCCACCCAGGGAGGTACTAAAGGGTCCTGTGGTAGTAGACAGTAACAGAACTACCCCGGGAGGTACAAGACCTGTGTAGTGAGCTGGTGACAGCAACCACCCAGGGAGGTACTACCGTCTGTGGTAGTGGACTAGGTAAGACAGCAACCAACCAGGGAGGTACTACCGTCCAGTGGTAGTAGAACGGTCGACATCAACCACCCAAGGAGGTACTAAGGTCCTGTGGTAGTAGACAGGTAGACAGCAACTACCCAGGGAGGTACTACCGTCCTGTGGTAGTGGACTGGTAGACAGCACCTCCCAGGGAGGTACTAAGGTCCAGTGGTATAGACAGGTAGAACAGCAACGACCAGGAGGTACGAAGGTCTGTGGAGAGACAGGTAGACAGCAACTACCCAGGAATGGTAACTACCGTCCTGATGGTAGTGGGACTGGAAACCAGCAACCACCCCAGGGAGGTACTACCGTCCCCTGTGGTAGTGGACTGGTAGACAGCAACCACCCAGGGAGGTACTACCGTCCTGTGGTAGTGACGGGTAGACAGCAACCACCCAGGGAGGTACTAAGGTCCTGTGGTAGTAGACAGGTAGACAGCAACTACCCAGGGAGGTACTACCGTCCTGTGGTAGTGGACTGGTAGACAGCAACCACCCAGGAGGTACTACTATACCGTCCCTGCGGTAGTGACTGGTAGACATCAACCACCCCAGGGAGTACTACCGTCCTGTGGTAGTGAACGGGTAAGACATCAACCACGCCAGGGAGGTACTAAGTCCTGTGTAGTAGACAGGTAGACACAATACCAGGGAGGTACTACCGTCCTGAGGTAGTGACTGGTAGACAGCAACCACACAGGGAGTGAAACTAAGGTCCTGTGGTAGTAGACAGGTAGACAGCAACTACCCAGGGAGGTACTAAGGTCCTGTGGTAGTGGACTGGTAGACAGCAACCACCCAGGGAGGTACTACCGTCCTGTGGTAGTGGACTGGTAGACAGCAACCACCCAGGGAGGTACTACTGTCCAGTGGTAGTGAACGGGTAGACATCAACCACCCAGGGAGGTACTAAGGTCCTGTGGTATTGAGACAGTAGACACAACTACCCAGGGAGGTACTAAGGTCCTGTGGTAGTAGACAGGTAGACAGCAACTACCCAGGGAGGTACTACCGTCCTGTGGTAGTGGACTGGTAGACAGCAACCACCCAGGGAGGTACTACCGTCCTGTGGTAGTGGACTGGTAGACAGCAACCACCCAGGGAGGTACTACCGTCTTGTGGTAGTGGACGGGAGACAGCAACCACCCCGGGAGGTACTAAGGCCTGTGGTAGAAACAGGTAAGACGCAACTACCCAGGAGGTTTACCCTCCTGTGGTAGTTGACTGGTGAGACAGCAACCACCCAGGAGGTACTAAGGTCCTGTGGTAAGTATACAAAGGTAGACCAGCAACCACCCAAGGGAGAATAACTAAGGTCCTGGTGGTAGAGACAGGTAACAGCACCTACCCAGGGAGGTACTAAGGTCCTGTGGTAGTAGACAGGTAGACAGCAACTACCCAGGGAGGTACTAAGGTCCTGTGGTAGTAGACAGGTAGACAGCAACTACCCAGGGAGGTACTAAGGTCCTGTTGTAGTAGACAGTCACAGCACTACCCAGGGAGGTACTAATGTCCTGTGGTAGTAACAGGTAGACAGGCAACTACCCAGGATGGTACAAAGGTCCCTGTGGTAGATAGACAAGCAACTACCCAGGGAGGTACCTAAAGGACCCTGTGGTAGTAGACAGCAAACTACCCAGGAGGTACTAAGGTCCCCTGTGGTAGTAGACAGCAAACTACCCCGGGAGGTACTAAGGTCCTGTGGGTAGTAGACAAGCAACTACCCCCGGTGGTACTAAGGGTCCTTGTTAGTAGACAGCAACTCCCGCAGGAGGTACAAGGTCCTGTGTAGTAGACAGGCAACTACCCAGGGAGGTACTAAGGTCCTGTGTAGTATGAACAGCAACTCCCCAGGCAGGTAATAAGGTCCCTGTGTAGTAGACAGCAACTACCCAGGAGTTACTAAGGTCTGTGGTAGTACACAGGTGACAGCAAACTAAAACCCAGGGAGGTACTAAGGTCCTGTGGATAGGAGCACAGGTAGACAGCAACTACCGCAGAGGGACTAAGGTCCTGTGGTAGTAGAAGACGCAGGAAGACAGCAACTACCCAGGGAGGAACTAAGGTCCTGATGGTAATAGACAGCAACTACCCAGGGAGGTACTAGGTCCTGTGGGTAGGTAGACAGCATTTATACCCAGGGAGGGACTAATCGTCCTGTGGTATGTAGACAGCACTACCCAGGGAGGTACTAAGGGTCCTGGTGGTCGTAGACAGCAACAACCCAGGGGAGTACTAAAGGTCCTGTGGTAATTAACAGCACTACCCAGGGAGGTACAAGGATCCTGTGGTAGTACAACAGGTAACCGCAACTAACCCAGGGAGGTACTAAAAAGGACCTGTGTAGTACACAGTAGACAGCACTACCCCAGGGATTTACTAAGGTCATGTGGTAGTAGACAGGTCGACAGCAACTACCCAAGGGGGGTACTAAGTCCTGTGGTAGGTAGACAGTAGACGAGCAACTACCCAGGGAGTACTAAGGTCCTGTGGTAGTAGACAGCAACTACCCAGGGAGGTACTAAGGTCCTGTGGTAGTAGACAGGTAGACAGCAACTACCCAGGGAGGTACTAAGGTCCTGTGGTAGTAGACAGCAACTACCCAGGGAGGTACTAAGGTCCTGTGGTAGTAGACAGGTAGACAGCAACTACCCAGGGAGGTACTAAGGTCCTGTGGTAAGTAGACAGCAACTACCCCTGGGAGGTACTAAGGTCCGTGGTAGTAGACAGGTAAGAACACCCCAACTACCCAAGGGAAGGTACTAAGGTCCTGGGTAGTAGACAGGTAACAGCAACTACCTAACCCAGGGAGTACTAAGGTCCTGTGGTAGTAACAGCACTACCCCGGAGTACTAAGGCCTGGTGGTAGTAACAGGTAACAGCAACTACCCAGGAGGTACAAAGGTCCTGTGGTAGTAACAGGTAAGACCGCAAACTACCCAGAGGTACATAAGGTCCTGTGGTAGTAGACCAGTAGAACAGGCCACCTACCCAGGGAGTACTAAGGCCTGTGGTAAGTAGACAGCAACTACCCAGGGCAGGTACTAGGTCCTGAGGTAGTAGACGTAGACAGCAACTACCCAGGGAGGTAACTAAGGCCCCTGTGGTAGTAGAACAGGTAGACCAAGCAAATACCCAGGAGGATACTAAGGCCAGTGGTAGTACACAGGTAGACAGTCAACTACCCAGGGAGGTACTAAGGTCCTGTGGTAGTAGACAGCAACTACC